AGCAAAAAAATGAACAGTGAAAGTAACAAAAACTTGTAAAATACATTTTAATGGGCATAATTAAGTGTGAAAATAACCGAAGCATATACAGTGAAACCAAAAAGATATAATTTTTATTTATTTTTTTTACTAGTGGGTGCAGGACACTATAGTTCATTTATGTAAGTGAGGATAGAAAAATAAAGTAAACTGTGACAAATCATACCCAAAAATTCTTCTACCAGTAAAATTGATACAAATTTGGGTCCAAAAATTATTCAGACTGAGTCTGGGAAAAAAAATTATGTTGAGGTTTGCATGAAGCTGGGTGACAGCATGCCCAGGAGACTACAGGCTGTCATTGAGGCTAAGGGTTGCCCGACAAAGTATGCATAGTTGTGTAAATACTGTCATACTAACATCATTATTTTGGTTGATTGTAATCTATTACATACCTTTCTATCAAAATGATCTAACATTATCAAGATGAATTTGTTCTGACACAGTGTAACTCTGAGTTCTTGTCATATTTTATTATAATTTTCTAAACTATAGCGAATAAACTGTGATAATGTGAGAAATGTTGAAGGTGTCTGAATAAATGTTGGTTTGACTGTATCTATTTGATAATTGAAGTTAACCAACTAACATTATACATACTCTTGGTTTCTGTACCCAATATTTAAATGTACAAATGCAATAAAAATATTGGTATCGGCAAGTACCAAAAATAAAAGTATCGGTATCGGGCGAGTACTGGAAAAAGTGGTATCGGTGCATCCCTAAGCAGTATGGAAGGAAGGACTAAGAGAACTGGATTTGTTTCATGTGACAGGCTGAGCGTCGCCCCTTGCCTATTTCTGTCAGTGTAAAGGACGCTGGTAAATTGGAGAATTGATTGAGAGAGTGAGATATTCCCTGCTGTGTTATTTTAAATTGCTCTGCCTCAGGTGGCTACTGAGGGGGAATACAGATGGAGGAGGCCTGCAGCGCTTCTCACCGCAGCTATTAAAATGGCCCACTTGTGCGGAGCTCAATCAGACATGTATTATCTCATTCACAGGGCTGTAAACACACAGGTTGTGTTTGTGTTGATTAGATCATCTCTAATTGAATGCACTAATACATACACAATGATTAGTATTAGACCTCTGGACATTATTAATATATTAATGTGCAACAGATGCACAAATAACAATAGGCTATTCAATGAGAAGCCATTTCTCTGTGAACAAAATGTAGTAGTGCTTAATACCCGCTGATATGATGCTAGGTTGATGCTGTTCAGTTGCTAAGGTGTCCTGAGTAGTTGCTATGGTGCTCTGGGTAGTTCCCAGGTGGTTATGATATTCTGGTCTCTAATTGTTTTTTTTGTCCTTTGTTTCTTTTGCCCTGTCTATGTGGCCACCAAGCAAAAACAGTCAATCTGATCAAGGGCTATTACTGTTAACTAAAACTATTTAAAAACAAATAATAATAATTATAATAAAAAAAGTTACATGGGAAAAAACTGAAACCGCTGAAATTAAATAAAATATAAATATTATATGAAAAATTAAACAAAGATTAGAAACTTTGCTTTGGCAAATAACTGAAATAGTTTACTTAATAACTAACTGGAAATAAATAATGAACTGAACTATAACAAAATAATTTAAACTTAAATATTTTTAAACTAATTAAAATGCTCAAACTCAAAATCAAAAAGGAATAACAAATATAAATATAAAAAATTTAAGAATTTAAAATATAATATATTTATGTTAATATAAACAAAATATAATATAAGCTATTATAATAATAATAATATAAATAATACTAAAATAACACTGGTCTGATCTTAGACAAATATTAACACACTTCCCCTCAATAAGCCACATGATTTGAGGTATTATTCGTGTCTGTAGCACAAACAGTGCTGGGTTTGTTCAAATCTCTCAATCCAACTGCTAACTACAAGACAGAAGCTAATGGCTCTATGCAAATTAAAAGTTTCTTGTATGAAACCAAGCCATCATAATCTTGACCCACCTAGTCTATAATTAATGAAGTAAAAGAGCTCCAACATGACAGCAAACAAGATTGAAATTAGTGTCTGCACTGAATAGAAAGGGCAACGAGCTGCAGTCCTGCAGTGTGCGCATGGCTGAATACATCGCAAAATGGATTTTTCACTGTTCTGAATGATTACGCCTGGAATATAAGCACATGGTAATGCTGAGATGCTGGGAAGTATTTGCTAAACACATACTAGATCAAAGTTTTCCAAACAGGATTCACATGGGAATCTTACAACCCCCTCGCTGTTCCTTCATAAACCCTGTTTGGGAAAGCTAGATCTAGTATATTCGTGCAGATTACTGAATGCTAACATTATCATGAGCTTAATTTCCAGGCATAAGCATTCAGAACAGTGATAAACTCAATTTGTAGTGTAATTTTGTGTTCCCAGGAGGGATGTAGTTGTTTTCCCAATGACACATAGCTACTATTAAAAATGCAATTCTATTGTTCTGGCACATTACCTGGCGATATATCCAGAAAAAGAGACTTCCAGATTGTATACTGTAGTGGCCCCATGTATTTGGATGTTGGGAAGTCTTCATAGGTGAGGTTGGTTTCGTGGATCTTTCCCTTTATTCTGCAGAGACAGAGGACAACAACTGCATTATTCAAATTCAACACTGGCAACCCACCAAACCCCAAGCCGATTCTTCCTCAAAGGCTAGATCCTGTTTCCAAACACCCGTTTTTGAATCGTACTGTGTTTTCTACATAGCTGTGCCACCCCTGCAAAGTCAAACAGCTCAAATTCACAGTTGGGAGTGAGGTCAATCTGGGCAACACTGCAGATCACTTTCATTAGTTCAAGCAACATTAATCAAGTTATTCCATTCCCATATGGCTAACCCCTCCCATCATTCCCAAATAAAAAGACTGCTACATTCACCCATTCAGAAATTCAGTTTTCTCAAAATGCAGTCTTAAACTTCAAATATTTTTGCTGATTAACAGGGCTAAGATATGTGCATTTATAGCATCTAATAAATCACAACCAGCTTTGTTATTTTTTATATCAAAGTCTCCGCTTTCAAATTTTTATTATGAAATTCAAACAACAAACACTGCTTTGATGCTCTTTGTGAAGTGACAGATTTCTCTTTACTACTAGTAATAGCACAAAATAAACATGAATGAACATCAGATAGTATGTTAAATGAAACAGTACAACTTAGCAAAATGTATCATGTCTCATGTAATCGCTCAGTGTTTCAACCGCAGAAAGACGTCAATAAAACAGTTTGTAATGAATGTTATGTAACGTTACATTTACATTAAAAAAGTAACTTAATGACCATAGCTAGATAGTTATCTAGAAAAACGAACTCTAGAGGGGATTGAACTCTATATTTTTTCCCTAACCTGTTCTTCAATATTTGTTTGAATAAATGTTTGAATAAATTTGTCAAGAAAAAGTTATGACAGCCACCGTTTGAATATTTATATAAAAAAAAACTGGAGTAGAAGCATAAATCTATAATTATATTAACAAACAATTTTTTTATATCATTAAAACATTATCAATGATATTATTGTAAATAAAAAATTATGCAAAATTTAATTGGTATACAAATCAGTTGTTAATTTTAACATTTAATGTTATAATGTACCATGAGAATAATTTATATGCATAATATATAAGAGAGAGAGAGAGAGAGAGAGAGAGAGAGAATGGTTTACTGTAAGGTTGAAAAGAGGTGGAAAATTTCTGGTAAATTTCTCAGAACACATTTTATTTTTGAACATGAAAAATTTACAGAGGTCCAGACCTCGGTGACCTCATAGCTGGCTACGGGCCTGTGTATTAATGTATGTGTGTGTGTGCGTATATGTATGTGTATATATATATTGAAATGGAATCAATTAGTGCCAATACCCATTATTCAAATTACCATTAAAATATTATTATATACAAAAAATTTTAGTTAGTTAATTTCAACATTTAATATTACAGTAATGCACCAAATTATATTTATTTATTATTATATAATTAATTCAATATAATATATATTATATCATGTTCTATAAATATATCTATATATATCTAAATATATCAAATTAAATATATAATTGGAGAGAGAGATAATTAAGGTTGCAAAGAGGCGGAAAGAGAGAATAGAATAGAATAGAATAGAATTAAGACCAAAGTGGAATGGAATAGAATTAAGATCAAAATGGAATTTAATCACAAGCTTGTGAATTTAAATGGAATCTAATTAAAGTTTTGTCAATACCCAGCCCCACTGATTATGTTAATCGATCTACTTCCTAACTAATCTTAACCTAGTCTGTTCTGCAGTGATCTCTCTTCTGACCGGGCGCCTGTGACATAAGGCAAAGGGCAATAGTCACATACATAAGTCAAATAACCTGACTTGCCTTGGTAGCTTCCACCAGCAATACCCTCCACGAATCACTTGCTCCCTGACCAGCGGTTACAAGAAAAAAGACAAAACGTTTTAGACCAGAGAATCTCAAACTACCATACAAAACACCCTCAACATACGCTCACCCACTCCTCTCTGAGTCACATGCCCTCCTCAGTACCTGTCTGACGTCAGGGCTATTCCTTCCAAGAACTCGTGACGGCTGGTCTCACTGAGTCGCTCCTGAAGGATCTGGATCCCCTCCTTGACATCACGGAGCTGTTGGCTGTAGCGCTGGATCTTGTGTTCGATATCAGACAGCGTGCGCGCCGTATCCGCCTCCAGCTCCTCCAGCATGCTCTTCTGTCGTTCCCGCAGGAAGCGGTGAAGTCGCTCGAACGCTTCGCCGATTGTAGCACGAAGGCTCTTCGCTGATGACTATGAAGTAGAGAAGATAAATTTAAGACTAGACTAAGAGCCTATAGAATTAAAATAGTACACAGCCACAAATAACAACCCTTCACCACCCACTGTGCACACACTAATTGAGATGTCAATCAAGCATGTTTGTTTTAGACCAAGTCTTCACTCTAGGGCAAATGGGGAGCATCATTTTCTTTCTTTTTTTTTTTTTAAGAAATTGATATTCAGCAAGGATGCATGATATTGACCAGAAGTGACATTAAAATACATTTATAATGTTACATTATTTTTTTAAATAAATGCTGATCTTTTAAACTTTATATTCATCAAACAATACTGGAAAAAATATATTAAAGTTTCCACTAAAATATTAAGCAACACGTTTCCAACATTGATGATTATGATAAATATTTATTGAGCAGCAAATGACCACAAAATTACTGAAATTTTACAAAATTACTCTTCCGTTGCCATCTCATGATTATAAACACTTCTGTCAAACAATCCATTTAAATAATTGGAACAAGCTGACAGTACTTTTGCCTACAATAGTGTCATTCCGAATCAATGTTTTTTTCCACCAGAATCGCAAAACTATAAAAAAAAATAACTACCCATTTTTAGGCAACGTTCTGCAACAATTAAAGGATAAAATAACTAAAAGAATCATGCTTTTATTATGTGTCTAAATGAAACAAAATTAATGCATCTACAATAGTGATACCCATGTTTTGGTGAGATAGTGTGCTTGACAATTGTCAAAGATAATGGTATGTGCAGTTAGAGAAGTCTAAGACTAGTGTTTCAAGTAAATGACAACCTACACAGGGACAACATGGTCAAAAGACCTGTCCTAACCAGGTATAACATGACGAGTTTCCACCATCAAGTAATTTGTGGGTCCTAAATAAAATACAGCTTGAAGTGACAAAACTACAGACATATTTGATGTTTAAAATACAACTGGAGTGTAGAGCATGGAGCTACCCGTGACGAAGAAAATGAGAATTCAGAAACCGGAATAATGTCTTACTGTGGATTCAAATTGTTAAAAGACAAATTAAGAGTATGATCTGGTTAGGACACCGCAAAAAGCATGTAATTTTAAAACCACGGTACTTATATTTCAATGCCTCTATATTCCTATTAAATGATTATATAAATGATTATATATATTTTAAATTTTTATGTATAGTTATTGTTATAAAATTATAATTTTGGCAGTCTCTCAGTGTATTGCAGTGGGCTATCAAGCAAGTGGAAAGTGCCGCATCATTAGAGATGGGGTCACGGTCTAATAGTCAGTGGAATTGGCATTAGGTTGCTCCTCCTTCAATCTACTGGGTTATTGTAGGACAGCCTCCATGGGAAGGACATAATTACACATGCAGATGGGCAGATGAGCATGGAGATAAAAGCAGCAGGGGACGATGCCGAACGTAAAAGAGAATTGTGAAACTAGCCAACAAACTCAGCATTGACCGAAACAGAGGAAAACAAGTCGAAGAGAGATAAAACGAGACGTTTCTGAGGAAGCCGATCATCTCCATTAAAGTGTAAAGAACATCAGTTACAGTCGACGGATCAAAGATCTGAAATCTCAAGGTCGAATCGATGCATGACAGAAACCGTTCCACCGATGGCCTTCCATACAAACAAGGCGAGCCGCAGATTTTCATTTATTTCTTCGCCTATGATAAGAACTGGAAAAAACCACAGACTTCACCGATGACAAGATTACTCCTACTAACAAATGAAATAAAGGACTTGTTCCACTTCTGTCTTTCCAATGGGAAATGTGATTTCCTTGCCACCAGGAAGATGAAATCCTATTAAGATCACGTCTCTCTCTGGCGTCATTTGCATCGGCTGAGTCAGCCAACCTGGTGTCGCCTGATGGATGATTGGGACTTAGTGATGCTGAAGTGGTGTTGGTCTCCCCACGGGCCACGCTGTCTCGGATCGGCTCTATTTAAAGCCAGTAAACATGTGCCATGAGCCTAGCGCAACTCGGCCTCCCAGCAGCCTGCTTGCGATGACATCTGCTAATCAGACACATCTTTCCTTGGGGTCTTCCATTCAGATACGACATCGGCACTTCAGACGAGATGGTCTGTCAGCAAGCGTGCCGCTGAGCTAAATCTAGAGCACACTAGCGGGGAGGTGGCAACAAGTTAAAAACGAGCTAACATGAACTATAGGTATTTTTGACACAAGCTACATGCTAAAGTAGCACAACTGTTTTCAACATTGATAATAATAATAAATGTTTCTTGATCCTTAAATCAGCATGTGACACTGAAGACTGGAGTAATGATACTACACACTGCACATTAACATTAGTTAATTCATTAGATAACAAACTGCCAATGAAAAATTCTTCTAAAGCATTTATTAACCTTTAATTTCAATATTTAATAACATATTAAATCAAAAGCTATAACTGTATAATTATTTTGCACTTTAATCTGTTTGAAACATTTATTGACTTTTTACACTGTGTATTGCTTTATTGTATTTAAATGTTCAGTTCTTTTTGTTCTAAGAAAAAAGTTGTTAAACCTGTTATATGACGACACATTTTTGCAACTTATTTCGATACCGTGATAATACCGTATACCGTGATAAAAGCTTCAGCAATTATCGCAACATGAAAATTTTATATCGTCACATGCCTAAAAGATTGTGAAAATTCAGCTTTGTATCAAAGGAATAAATTACATTTTAAAATACATTAAATTAGAAAACAATGGAAGCCTGTTTCCACCACAGTATACAATTTTAAAAAGGTAATTGCAATGTTTTCTCACAATTCAAACTTTTTTCTGAATTTTATCTGAAAAAAGTCTGAATTGTAAAATAAAATTCGCAGTTATTTTTTTTTCATTTGGTGGAAACAAGCTTCCATAGAAAAGTTATTTTAAATTGTAATAATATTTTACAATATTACTGTTTTTACTGTATTTTTGATCAAATAAATGCAGCCTTTGTGAACATAAAAGAAAAAAAATCTTACAGACTTCAAACTGAATAATAATAATATTGATGTTTGCCTCAGAACCACTAATAATATCACAAAGTAACTTCACATGATCTTTAGTCTAACACAGCACTGAATTAGCCACTTTATTATCATTTAGAAACAACGAGCCCACTTAATTATTGCATTCAGTTTACTCAATAACGTTGATTCAGAAGTGCCAGATTGTCATAGCAAAGTCGGAATTGATTATAATTTTTTTTTTTTAAATAGCCTTTGTGCACAGCCAGCCTTGTACTCTTCTAGGTTAAAAAAACTGTCATCCATAAAATGCGTTGCACAAATTCGAACATCTGGGTTGTGCTGTTCTGTTGTAAATAAATCTTAACCAATGATTCCTAATTGCATCTACTTCCGGAAAGCCAAATAAAGTGCTTTTGCTTTCGCACTGAATCACACAGCGTCTCCCTGACATGGCTGCATCAACACTACTGCTGTTCCTGAAACCATGCCTTCTTTCTTTGTGTGAACATTTGGGCGGCATTATGCTAATATTTCCACAGTGATGTAGACATGTGGGGGCATGTTAGAACGAGCCGTTTTAGGTAGGCGTGGTTGACTCTTAACTTTTATAAAGAATATCTCTTTGGATTTGAGACTTTAGTCTTTGCAACTTTACAGATCTTCTTTATGCACCAAGAGCTTGTAACACTCCAAAGAGAAAGGAAAACTTGAAATCGCATCATATGACCCCTTTAAATCGACTTGAGAGACTACAAGGAATTTGTTCTTCGAAAATTCATGCTATGTAATATTCAATGTGGCCTACAATCCACTTTACTTCTGTAATATGAAACTGTACAACAGGAAACTTTTTGTAAAAATAAACAGATTTTTGTGAAATGTGAAATTAGAAATAAATTGGATTGTCAACAGTGGGTCTACATGACCAGTCAGAGAGGACAGGTTGAAAAAAAAGGGCTTGGTGACATCGGTCCTTATAGACATGAAGCAAAATATTATAATTTGATGAAAGATTATGAAGACAAACATTTTTTTCTCTCTGGAATAACTTGTACTGATGAATCACTCACAATATAACCAGGAACTGATTAAAAAAAATTAACTAATTAATCACACATTTCTTATAAATATACGCAATTATTCACATATTTATGTGTGTATATTTATATTGTCATAATTTCACATTAAATCTTCAAACTAATGTAGAAACAACATAAAGATGGTATATTTTAAATATGTGTTTAATGGCATCTTTTTACTAAGTAGCCTATTTTTAATGAAGGCCAGTACCATTGATGCCAATATTGCTACTGTCATGTCAAGTCGTGGCCTAATGGTTAGAGAGTCGGACTCATAACCCAAAGGTTGTGGGTTCGAGTCTCGTACCGGCAGGGATTGTAGGTGGGAGGAGTGAATGTACAGCGCTCTCTCCCACCTTCAATACCACGACTGAGGTGCCCTTGAGCAAGGCACCGAACCCCCAACTGCTCCCCGGGCGCCGCAGCATAAATGGCTGCCCACTGCTCCGGGTGTGTGTTCACGGTTTGTGTGTGTTCACTGCTGTGTGTGTGCACTTTGGATGGGTAAATGCAGAGCACTAATTCCGAGTATGGGTCACCATACTTGGCCACATGTCACTTCATGTCACTTCACTTTTTATTAAATGCATTTTCCCCTCAATTTTAGCCATTAATTATAGTCATTCAACATTAAAGTATAATTTAAAGCCATTAATTTTTACATTTAATAGGCTTCGAAAAACATAACTTTTAAATTAAACTTAAAACAACCTTCACATAAACTATAAAATGTATATGCATAAACTATCATTTGAATATAGATTAATCTATATTCAAGCTACAAAAGTTAATCAGCAAAGATTTTTCCGATTTTCTCCCAGTTCTTTACAGTCATTTAGGACTTTTTAACCCATTTAAGACTGTTTATGAGTTCACTCACCAAAAACTGCTATTTCGACATAATTTTGTGGGTTTTAGTTAATTAAAGCACTACTGGCACCAGTACTAAATTAAGTTTTCTTTTGAATCTTATTGTGCTTGACTGCATGTTCATAGAGTGTTCTACTGTAAATCTAACCAAAGGATGGCAGGGGAAAAAATGGATGCTGCGTTAAATATCTATATATACAGGTGCATCTCAAAAAAATTAGAATATCGTGAAAAAGTTCTTTTTTTTGGTAACTTATTTCAGAAAGAGAAAATTTCATATATTCTAGATTCATTACATGTAAAGTAAAACATTTCAAAAGTTTTTTTGCTTTAAGGGCCGTTTACACAACAACGTTTTCAGCCAAAAACTGGAAACGTTTTATGCGTTTTGCCTGTTCGTTTACACGACAACGGCATTTTGGCGACTGAAAACGCATATTTTTGAAAACGGGTTTCAAAGTGCAAGTTTTTGAAAACGCCACCATTATCATTTCCATGTAAACACCCAAAACGGGAATCTTTGAAAACGATGATGTCATGCGCGTGCGTAGTACGTGCTAGGTATGTAGACATGCGCAGTACGTGTCAATTTTAAAGGCAAGCGCGAACAAACATACAATGGCGGAGTACATGGTGCTGTTGTTGCTGCTCAAGAGTTTGCTAACGCTTCTTCAGCAAAGTGTGAATTTACTTCACCAATATTACAACCAATCGTCACTTCCCTACAGGTACGGTTTACTAACAAGGTGACAGCGCTAACGGCCTGGCATACGTAATACAGCGTTTTTGGCCATTTTCGCGGATA